AGAAAGAAAGAAAGAAAGAAAGAAAGAAAGAAAGAAAGAAAGAAAAGAGAGAGACTTTCTGATTTCTTTTAATTGCTTCTCCCTGCTCTTTTTTTTTCCGCTTTCAGAGCTGAGCGTCGGACTAACGTTTTGCTCGGAAAGAATTTGGTTTCCAAAGTGGAAATGCAGGACACTCACCCGCCGAATAAAGAGATTTTCTAAGGGAACGTTGCATTTGGTCGGGGACCAAACACTTCCGCTTGGCTTCCGCTGGGTTTTCTCTGCCACAGGCAAGAAAAGGTTCTTGCAGGAAACAAAACGCGGAAGATTCGAAGGTTTTAAAAGCAAACCGAGAGAGGCAAATTCAGTTTAAGGGGCGGTATTTATTTTAAAAAGCAGAAGCGGCCATTAAAAAAAAAAAACGAACATTAGGGTGGACAGACGAGGAACCTGGGCGAATCTGTTGCGATATTTTAAATAGACTACTTTTGCAAATCCGTTCCAACCACCCATCCATCTAAATCTGCAGAGGATTTCTTATTATCTCCTCTGCTTATTCTCATCGGATGGGGCACTGAGAAAAAGAAAGAAAGAAGGGAAAAATACCGCATGCCATTTAGAAAGCAATCCATGGTGGACTAAAATAACGCGAACTGTTTTTAACTTTATACAAAATCCGCTGGTGAAGTTTCAAGACTCTTGTACTTTACTCTGGATACTTTCTATTTTAAAAAAATATTTTTTCCAGCCCTAATATTTTGTAATAACTATTACACAGTAGTAAGAAGTGTTATCGTATTAATAATAGCGTGATGGCATCAAATGATATAATAACGACCATTGAATGTAACAAATAAATATTGGTAAAGATTAGCCTTCAATCGAATTGTAACACATTAATTATCTGTAACAATGACTTATGGGGAAAACTATCGTGCTTGGCACGCTTTGCCGTATTTTCATAGCATGCAATATTATTATGTCAGTGGGCAGAAAAGAGTAGACCTCTGCTTTCTTTCAGGTTCAGGAGAGTATAGAACAATAGGATGAAAGCTATGAAATTATAATCCATGTTTCAAGCAATTTTTTTCTGCTTCTGGTTGAGCAGAAAGCAAGTTCAGTAAAATAGCAAGTGGGCGAAAAATAAGACTAAAATCAGAATGGGTGATTCTTTTATTGTGGTATTGTTGGTTTGTGCATCACAGGGAATCTTTTGCATGCCTGCGTTTTTATTTTTGGGGGAGGACGGAAATACATCTGATTAATTTGGTTTAGAGATTAAAAGTGGAAAGAAAGAAAAAAAAATGCATGGGCAGTTTATGTATGTGCAATAGTGCCACCTAGAGGAAAACGTTAGTATCTTTTTATTACTTTATTATATAATAATAGAGTATATAAAATATAAAAAAAATACGAAAGAAAATAGCAGGAAAGGAAGGGAGGGAAAGGGCGAAGGGAAAAAAAGAAAGAAAAGACATTGGACTCCCAATTCCCTTTGGGGCAGTAGAATAAGATCATAGCATCAAACCTAAACTTTTTACTTTTACATAATAATATAAACTAGCCATTTCTATAACAACAAACCTATAAAATGGATGAGCAGCTCGCTGACCAGAGACAGGAGAAGCCCAGAGGCTTTGGGTGGAGAGGCCACACAGTTGCAGCTGATCAATGGAAATTAGAATGGAATGGAATGAAGAATAGAACAGAATGAAGAATGGAATCGAACGGGACAGAACAGAACAGGATAATAGTAAAATGAATTTGGAATGGAATGGAATGGAATGGAATGGAATAGAATAGAATAGAATAGAATAGGATAGAATAGAATAGAATAGAATAATAGTAGGATGAATTAAGAATAGAATGGAATAGAATGGAGAATGGAATGGAACAGAATGGAA